ATGCCACCAAAAATGCCACCTACCGCAATCGACCGTTGATGACTAACCCGGCGATGGCGTGCTCGCAGGTTGCCATCCGATGACGTTGGAGCCTCCATCACACTCACGCTCCAGCGCCCACCACCAGAGAAGAACACACACCTGAGCTGCGGTGACCCGGGTTTCCAATCTCGTATGATCCCGACGATGAACCCTGCACTCTCGAAACATCGGACACGCGGACATTTTAGCCGAAGTCATCCCCGCCGAGAGCTGCCAGTCAAGACGACTAGACACGCCACGCCACGTCCACAACAGAACAAGCCATGCTGCGGCTCCGAGCTACTCGTACGTAGGACGCGGCTTCTAAACCCCTTCCAGAACCCAAGCTAAGAACAAAAAGGATCTTCAGGGGATCGTCCGGGGTAGGCTCGAACCCAGCTCCACGCAGGCTTACGACGAATGCCGCGGCAAGAGAGGGCGCTGATAGGTTGCGGATGATGCCATCGAGCCGCAGGGTTGGCAAATGCGCTTAACTTCGACAGTACATGGGATTCTGGCTGTGTGATTCGTTGTGGGGGAGTGTACGGAGTACAGTAGGTACCTATTCTGAAAGTCAAAAGTAAATCTTGAAGCTGGGGTGGATAGCTGGTAGCTCCTATGCCATACGTACGTCAGTCTGCGTGCGTGGGTTCGGGTTTCGATCGCTCTATCTTGGTTTGATCGAGGGTTGAATCCGTGGGTTGGCGGAGATCTGGTTGCTGGCTGCGGGAATGTCAATTGAGACGTACATTTACGTAGTAGTAAGTAATTAGGGGAAAGTTGGGGGTTCTGCTTTGAAATCAGAGTAAAGTCTTGATAATTGATCTATTGTTGGAATTCCGCCCGACAACTCAGAGTATTGGGGTTGAGAAGTGGCGCGTGATATCGCGGTTAGAAATGCAAAGAGCCCCTGTGTGACGACGACTACCTGTGTCACTGGAAGCAAGATTGGAAGGCGATTGCTGCGTCGTGTCCTGCGTTTCTGATAAGCCCAGTCTGCCAGTTTCTGGACCGTACGGATAGGGGGTGATTGATTAGCACTACGTACTGTACTTGTCTCAGGTTATCTCCGACGGCTGGCAACCGGATCCTGCTACTCAATATGAATATCTTCAGCTGATCTAGAATATCCTCTGTGTCATTTGAAGTAGACGCGTAAACCCCCTTTTGATGCTATCTGACGGATCACCGTCACCCTCAACAATCAATCAATCAATCAATCAATCAATCAATCAATCAATCAATCAATCCTGGGTGAGACAATGGTTGAGACAACACAGACAACACAGACAACCACCGTGATTGCCGACAACCCCGGCTTAGTCGGCACCTCGTGACCACAGCGGATCCGGGGATGGAATCACACACCAATGAACCATCAATAAAAAAAACGCCAAGTGGGCCAAGATCGGGCCCGGTGCGAGTCCGGCGAATCCTAAATTGTAGAAAATCCCACTAAGCGATGGGCGGTGAGCAACAATCGATCCCCCCGGGATAATGTCAATTTCCTTATCGAAGACAAAATCAGTCAATCAATTGGCTCTTTTACAAGTGTTTGTGTGGTAATGAGTAATGGAACAAAGATTGGGTCAGGTCAAAGAGATGCAAATCTGGCCAGCACGTGAGCACCGCCACCACCGGAGATTGAGAGCCTCGCGTGGCAAATCATCAGAAATGGCGTTTATCGGGGCGGGGGACTGGCCATCACAACCGTGACCGTTGATCCCGGTTGATACCTTAGTCAATGATAGACCAGCCCGCATGCAGGAGTCGATCCGCTTCATCTGCAAGATTCTCCTGCTTCACCACCTCATCACCATTGAGTTTCCTATTCACTGCACCCGCCTGATGATCAGCTGTGCTGCTGCCCCCTTGGCGGCTATCCATGGATCCTCCCGCAATCACACCATCGTCCCCGCCGATGGTTCCATTGTTATGGTGACATGGGGAATTGACGAGCGAGGCCGAGTGACGAGCCAGAAGGAGAAGAGAGATCGGCTACGGAGTACTAAGCCTGATTCTGCCGCCTTCTTTTCTTAACCTTTCTTTTTCTCCTGCTTTTTTTTTCCCTCCTGTTCGACTCCCATTCTCCCTTCACCTCCTGAAACAGGCGTTGGGACTCGTTCATTGCTGCAGTGGTCAGTCTCCACTTGAAGTCAATCACTGTCCGGTCACTGTTACTTATAATCCGGTCTCTTCCTCCTTTTTTAAACTTCCTCCCCTCCCACTCCTTCTTGCCTCGTCACTTTTCTGGTCCCTATCACTCAAGACAGACTTGTTGAGAACGGCTGTCCCTTCTACAGCAGCTATCTACAGGCCATTCTAGTCTAGACAAGTCTACAATCCCCCGTCCACAGAGAGAGTCGCTTATCGCCATGGCTGCCAAAAGGCCCAACATCCTGTACATCATGGCCGACCAGATGGCCGCCCCGCTTCTGGCCTTCCATGATAAGGACTCCCCTATCAGAACCCCCCATCTGAACAAGCTGGCCGAAGAAGGAGTGGTGTTTGATTCCGCCTACTGCAATGCGCCGCTGTGCGCCCCCTCCCGTTTCGTCATGGTGACCGGCCAACTCCCCTCCAAGATTGGTGCGTACGACAACGCCTCCGACCTGCCCGCCGATGTCCCAACCTACGCCCACTACCTCCGCCGCGAGGGCTATCACACTGCATTGGCGGGTAAGATGCACTTCTGTGGCCCCGATCAGCTGCACGGATACGAGCAGCGCTTGACTAGCGACATCTACCCTGGCGATTATGGCTGGTCCGTCAACTGGGACGAACCCGTAAGTCTTCTGGAATTGTGGCCCGAGAGCGAGGAAATATTGACCCAAATAGGATATCCGTCCCGATTGGTACCACAACATGTCGTCCGTCATGGAGGCTGGCCCCGTCGTTCGCACAAACCAGCTCGACTTCGACGAGGAGGTGATGTACAAGTCGACCCAGTACCTCTACGATCATGTGCGCCAGCGCGGCGACCAGCCTTTCTGTTTGACCGTGTCGATGACCCACCCGCATGACCCCTATGCCATGACCAAGGAATACTGGGATCTGTATGAGGATGTCGACATCCCCTTGCCCAAGCACGGCGCGATTCCCCAGGATCAGCAGGACCCACACTCCCAGCGGGTGCTCAAGTGCATCGACCTGTGGGGCAAGGAAATGCCGGAGGAGCGCATCAAGGCCGCGCGCCGCGCTTACTATGCCGCCTGCACCTATGTGGACACCAATGTGGGCAAGCTCTTGAAGGTGCTCGACAACTGCGGTTTGCGCGACGATACCATTGTGGTGTTTACGGGCGATCACGGCGATATGTTGGGCGAGCGTGGCTTGTGGTACAAGATGACGTGGTACGAGGGGTCGGCACGTGTGCCTATGATCATGCATGCGCCGAAGCGCTTCGCGGCTAAGCGGGTGTCGGAGAACGTGTCGACGATGGATCTGCTGCCGACGTTTGCGGACTTGGTGGGCGCACCCTTGGTTCCTGGGCTGCCGTTGGACGGCGTCTCGCTGCTGCCATACTTGACGGGCGGGGACGGCGTCAAGACCGATACCGTGCTGGGCGAGTACATGGCCGAGGGCACTCAGTCGCCGACCGTCATGATTCGCCGCGGACAGTGGAAGTTCGTCTACTCACTGATCGACCCCCCGATGCTGTTCGACGTGGTTGCCGACCCGGAGGAGCGCGTCAACCTGGTCGCAGGCCTGCCTGATCCATCCAAGCTCGTCGCTGTCAACGGCAAGGGGACAGGCTTGCCCACCCCGAATGACTTCCCGCGCGTTTCGCGTGGCCCTGACGGCACCTCGTCCTTCCCCTTCCCGACTCCACCACGCACCCCAAGCCCCTCCAAGCACTCCTCGGTGTTGCCTCAAACCAGCGACCCCGCCACGCTCCTGGCACACTTTGTCGAGGAAGTGCACACTCGCTGGAACCTGGAGCAGATCCGCGAGGACGTTCTCCGCTCCCAGCGCCGCCGCCGACTGGTCTACTCCGCCTTGATCAAGGGCGTGCCATCAATCTGGGACTACGAGCCCCGCATTGACCCCAGCACACAGTACGTGCGCAACCAGGGCAAGGGGGCGTTGGACGATGTGGAGTTGATTTCGCGGTGGCCGCGGGTGTTGCAGCAGGCGGCGAACGCTGTCGGGCGGGTGTAGCTGACCCGTTATAAGCTTTTCTATTCTCTGGATGTGTCCAAAAGTGCCTGCTTCTGAGTTCTCTGCGTTGAGCGAGGCGCTATACCCGACCTTTACATGATTACATCTGCCATAGCATTTGATGAGTTTGTTAGCATATTGTCCAGTCGTTAGTGTTGATGATTTTTAGGGTGTTTGTGATGTGATGCTTTGGGTGGTCAGGTAGCTGGCTGGCTGGCCCGCCGGGTGTACATTGGACGGGGTGCATGTGTACAAAGTTGGTTCTTGGTTTGTTTTCTGTGAATAAGACTGAACATGATATATCTTTTCTTCGGCAGGAGCAGGTCCTTGTATTCACTTCAGTATCCTCGAGAGAGCACATAACCTATACACAAATATAGCACGAATTGACTCGAACCCTTGAGACATAGAGTTACGCATGCCAGCTTTATACCGCGCTATCCACCGCGCTATCCACCGCGCCCTCTGCAGCATTTCTAATGACACGGAAGCAGGACCGAAAAAGACCCCCCCCCCCCCCAAAAAGCAATAGGTAATCCTTATCCTAAGAAAATGAATGCCTTCACCGGGAGAGAGAAGGGAGTGGGAAGCAAAAACGACAACAGTCGGATTTGAACCGACGCCTCCGAAGAGAATAGATTTCTAGTCTATCGCCTTAGACCGCTCGGCCATATTGTCTTATCTGGAGAATGGGACGTAGTAGGCGTACATGACTCAAAAATTACTGTACCTAGTAACGCGATCGATCCGAGCATGAGATGATACTCCGTAGGCCCACAGCACTCACTACCTACTATACTATGCATGGTGAAATGATTAAGCGTGATATGTAGTTGAGATTGCTATGTAAAACCATACTATGGATACCAACAGACACATTAGAACTCGAATTTATATACAGAAGATAATCCAACGCATCATTGTGCAACAGGTAACAAGTGAATGACGATAACTATATAAACCCATACTCTACACCCTACACCCTCCGCCTAACAACCACAACCACAACCACCCACCACCATATAAAGGTCACCCCCAAACCACCCTCCTAATCTTAATATTCGCCAAATGCGCCACGCCAACCACCTGCCTCACCGCGGGCGCGCCCCCCACACCTTTCCCTCTCCTATGCCCCTTCCCTTCTCCCCCCCTCACCCTCCCCCCCAACCAATGCCCGGAATTCTCCCCCACAAACACCAAAAACAACCCCCTCTCCAGCGCCGGATCCGGCCGGAACTTATCGAAATACGCCCTCTTCCCCTGGATCGGCAGCCGGGCAAACGCATACCGGTACGCGCGCCGGGTAAGCTTCTCGACCAGCGGGGACGCGAACCCCTCGACGCGGCCGAGCTGCGCGTACGGCTCGACCCCGAGACTGAGGTAGTTGCACGCCAGCCGGCGCAGGAGCGCCATCGCCGCGAAGACGAGCAGGTCCGAGAGGCCCCTGGGGCTGCCGGGGGCGGCGATGCAGGGGTCCAGGTGGTAGCCGTGGTGGGTGCCGAGGTAGCGGAGGGCGGCGAGGGCGTTGGGGGTGCCTGTGCCTGTGCCTGTGCCGGGGGCCGTGGTGGTGGTGGTGGTGGTGTAGATGTAGATGATCTGCGGGTGGGGGTGGGATTCGGGGACGGTGAAGGGGGTCGGGGTGGTGATGAAGGCTTGGGTTTGTGTGCCTGTGGAGGTGTTGCGGTGGTGGCGCCAGGTTTTGTAGATCTCCGTGAGTTGGGATTGGAGGGTTTGGTCTTCTGTTGTTGTTGTTGCTGCTGATGAGGGGGCAGGGGCGATGTAGAGGTTGAGGGCTATTCCCCCTTTCGCGGGGTGGAGGAGTTGTTTGGTTTGGAGGACGATGCGTTTGCCTTCTTGTTCGTGGAGGACTGGGTTCGTGAGCGGGTTGAGGACGCGCTCGCGGCCGAATTCCAGGATCGTCCAGCTCTTGGTGTCTTTCTCGTTCTCGTTCTGCGGGTGCGGGTGCTGGCACTGGGCGTAGTCGACCATGCGCTCGCTTGTCCCTAAGAAGGCGATGTCTAGACGCTGGCGTTGGCGCCAGGTTTGGAACTCCGAGAGCACGGAGCCATACTCCTCGACTCCGCACATCGGGTCCCCTGAGACTATGGCGACTTTGTTGCATACCTTGAAACAGAGCAGGGCTGTGCGCGTGGTGTTGACGAACAGGCTGTAGCTTGGGTCCAGCACGCCCATGTGCGAGACTTGGCCGTGCCGCGAGATCAGATGCTCGATCGCCGCCATGCTGCATGGCGGGTTGAGAGTGATGATGCGGTTGGGCTGGGGCTGTTCATTACAGTAAGATGAGGAGGGTTTGCTGGTGCCTGGGCTGGGGCTGGAGTCGTGGCTGGTGCGGCTGGAGGCCACGCTGCGGTCGTCGTAGGAGGATAGCGTCATGGAGGAGGATTTGCGCGAGATGTTGCTGCTGCTCGCGCTTGAGCGGGGTATTTGAGGGACGGTGAGGTAGGGGGAGGTGGAGAGGAGTTGCTGGTCGACGGGTTGCCAGCCATTGTGATGATGTTGCCCTAACGGTTGATGGGCATGCTGGTGCTGGTGGTAACGGTCACCAAACGAGAGGAGACGCTCGTGCAATGCTTGTCCGATGGTATCTGCCAACAGAACCTTGGCTGGTTTCTTCGGCGGAATCGTATCTGTCCCATGCTGCTTCTTCTGTTGCTTCTTCGCTCTTTTGCTCTGCTTGGGCGATTCGGTCGAGGTGGATGAAGACATGGCGACACTGTCATCCAGCACCGATCTGTGCAGAAGGTCAACTGTCCTGAATGTGATCGAAATGGTCTAACCATGGGGCGAGACGAGGAAGAAAAGGAGCTGAAAAGGAACAGAGAATGAGCATGGCGCCAGGCTCCAGCAAAGCCCTCTCAGCCCCCCCTCCAGTACTGCCTCATTCCTAACCTGGTTTCTGTGCATCGGCTTTGGGCGGCAATTTAGCCAAAAGCAGACCACCCTACACATCGGAATCAATAACGAGGGCCATGAACCCTGGCCAGTGGGTCGGGACTCGAGCCTAGGGTCTGGCGCCTGAGATGGCCGCCGCTGCAGCCATCCATGGATAATGATGACGGAACAAATTGGTTGGCCCTGGAAACGTTGTTGACTGAGGGGTCGGACGGCCGATGTCATTTTACATGCTATTCCTGTCCACCGTCCTGGCCTCGTCTGATCTATTTGGGGGTGGCGTGAAGACAATCCCTCGTCTGCAGCCCACAGCTGTATGTACAACGAATCCATTGACTGAGGCTTCGCCCGATGGGGTTATTCCGTATTCGTACCCCGATTGGGTAGTGCGTGTCAGGATCGGAGAGACCAAAACACGGCTGCCTACGGTGTATGGTCCTTGCAGAAACGCAGAAGAAAGGGTCTTTGGCTCTCGTCAGCCCTACAGTGCATACACGGGTCACGGAAGTTGGCCGTCACTTCAGCAGCGTCGGGGGCCGCGGGGACCGTGACGCATTTCTTCCGAGAATCCGCGCAGGAAGAAGAAAATTGCAGCCTGGTCTAGCTCGGTCAGTAGCCAGGAACGGGTGCAGTCCCACAAGAAGCTTAACATTGATTAGTACTGTGGTGGTGGTGGGCGTTGAGTTATGTTGGTTGGTTGTGTTGTGTCGGTTTTGTGTCGATGGCTGAGTCAACAGCCAAGCTTTCTTGACTGTCGGGGAGGATCGCTTGGTCTTTTTGCTTCTCGTTTCCTCCTTTTCCTCTCTTTCATTACTTCATCTCAACTTCGGAACATCGGAAGCAATCCGAGCTCAATGATGTCAATGACTAACAGGAATTCTCCATCATGCAATAAAATTTGCAGGGATCAGTTACCTGGATGAATATCAGTCGCAACAGCAATTTCCCGACAAGCTTTATCGGTCAGATCCTGCAGCAACAACGATGATGACGCCCACGCCTCTTTCCGCCGCGATCAGCTCCTCCGTTCGCCAGCCCTACCGCCTTCTCCGACCGGCCGTTATCCTTACCCGCGCCAACAGTAGTAGCAGCAGCAGCAGCAGCAGCAGCACCACCACCACCACCAAACCTAGCAACGCCAGCTTAAATCTCCACCATGCCACCTCTTCGGATGCTTCCCAGCTCACCGACGTATTCCTCCATTCCTTCTCCGATGCCTTCAACCGTCGCTTGTTCCCCCTGACCGACGATGTGCGCACCTGGTGGTTCGAGAAATTCACCAGCGACCTGGAGGAGACCGGCAAGCCCACATCCGGTAGCACAATCCTCAAAATCGTGGACGAGAGCCAGAAGGACCCGGTGATTGCAGCCTTTGCCAAGTGGAAGTTGTATTCTGGCGAGCAACGGCAACCCGAGCCCCCACAGCTGGACGAGCAGAGTCTCGCGCAGAAATGGCCCCCAAGCTCTGATCAGAAACTGTGTGAGGAATTCTTCGGGAAAATGGACCAGGAGAAGTGGGAGGTTATGGGGGCCAAGAAGTATTACTGTGAGTTTTCTCCTCGGCTACCTTCTGGCTGGCGGGCCCACTCAGTGAGCAGGCACAAACTCACAGTCCATAATTGAAATAGATCTTGACATGCTCGCAACCCACCCCAACTACAATGGACGAGGACTGGGATCGCAGCTCTTGCGATGGGGGCTACACCGGGCGGATGATGCCGGGGTGGATACCTTTTTGGCCTCGACCCCTCAGGGCCGACGGTTGTATGAGAAGTATGGATTCCAAGTGGTGAAGGAGTACGAGGTTGTGGAGGGACATGTTCAGGCGTCGATGGTGCGGCCTGTGCGGGAATGAGCTGGCAATTTCGGTGGTAGGTTGGTTAGTTAGTGAGAAGATGTGCGTATATGTAAGATAGGTCGAAGGACTACTGTGTACTAGTCGACTTGGTGCTGCAAGGAAAAGGAGAGAAAACCCGAAAATAGGCACGGATCATCGGCTCAGCCCTACAGGGCGAGGGCCCCACTCCTCAACTGTAAACCCCCCCAATCCGGTCGTTCTGCCCTGTTCTCTCCACGTTTCCTGCTCTTCCAGTCTATTCTCTTCTCCCTCTTCCCCTTCCTCCCTTTCCTCTTTCTTTTCTCCCTCTCCGCTCCCTCTCCTCGTTCTTTTAACCCGTCTGTGCCCATCTCGTGTCATTTCTCCATCTATGTGGCACACACACGATGGCCCTCCCCGACCCTGGCCTTCCTACCCCCAAACTCCTCCGTGAATCCACCGACCTCACCTTTTCCTCCACCTTCACCAGCTCCAGCACCCGCTCGTTCTCCTACACCCCCAACGCGGTGACCTTCACCCGCACCCGCACCCGCACCCGCACCCGCCTGCCTCTTGCCAACAAACACAAATACCGCATCCTGCACCAACCTCTGTTCCGCAATTCTCTCCTCGCCGGCGTCGGATACCTAGAACTAGCCAATGCGGCCGACTTTGCGGCCAATGTGTGGAACGAGATCCCGGTGCCCCTGCACGCCAAGATCCTGATGGCGATTGGCGGGCCCTGCGCGCTGTGCATGACCCTGGTCGCCGCCCGAGACATGTACCTCAGCGCCGCCAACGTGCGGTTGCTGCGTCGAGAGAGAACTTTCCTCGCCGACAGCATCTCCGCCAGTGCATCGTCGGCCGACCACACCGATGACGGCCCCCACAGACCGACCCCCCATCCATCCAGCGAGAGATCCACCATCGACAGGCTCAACGAGTACAAGCACGGCGTCAATACCCGCGAGGTGCTCACCGAAGTCATCGACCGCATCCTCATGGATCTGCTCATGGGCGTTGGTGCCCTGCTCGTGGGCATCGGCACCCTGCTCGCGATCTGGGGCGCTGATCCGACCATCTACCGGGCCAGTAATCTGCTGTCCGGGTACGTGGGCAATGGACTGGCGGCGGGCTTCGGGCTCGTCAATGCGATTTGGTCCGCGTATCTGGTGTGGCGGTTCCAGCGGTGCTGGAGGGCGTGCGCCGCGGCGGCGGCGGAGGAGGAGGGGAAAATCCCCCGTGACCAAAACCACGAGCTTCCGGCCTCGCTGAAGACCAAACTCCGGGCGCGCATGCGGGCCCTGCAGTTCCATGCCGTCGTCAACGGGGTCAACGGCGTGGTGGCCGGGGCCGCGAGCATGGTCACGGCGACCATGTGGTACGGGTACGTGGTCCTGGTGCCGTGCATCGTGAGCCTGATCCTCCTGAACGTGTTCTGGCGCGCGAGACTGGGCTACGACCGTTCGCTGGGGACGTTCTCCTCCACCGGACTCGACGCGGAGTCGTGCACCGCTGCCACGGCCACCACTGCTGCTGCTGCTGCTGCTGCTGCTGAAAACCCCGTCGTCCACGCCACCATCCCAGAAGACGACTCCGCCACAGATCCAGATCACGATCACCCCTCACCTCCACCTCCCTCCTCACCCGCTGCCCTCGCCCACCACAAAGAAGACATCGACCGGGACCCCCCCAACGAAGACGCCCTCTCCATCCTCCTCACCGAGCTCGCCTATGTCAGCGAAATGCACCGTGCCCTTCTACACACAAACAATGACCATGACGCCAGCAGCCACCGAGAAACCGAAACCAAGATCCTCCGAACCCTCCAACTCCCCATCACCACCCTCACGCCCATCACCCTCCTCGCCTTCATCACCCACCACAACCTCTGGGAGAGTTTCTGCGTCTGGCTCATCGAAAGCCAGAGCCAGAGCCCATCCCTGCTCAAAAGGATGTGGGATATCCTCCGTTTCCGTTTCCGTTTCCGCCGACACCCATCACTCACATCCAGGACAACAGAGGAAGAACTAGACGCCATCCTCGGCTTGGGGAGAGATGCAAACCCCGATGCTATATCTCCCGTGCTCACCTCTACAGGCTCGGAGAGAGCTACGTCAGCACCAGCAGCAGCACCAGCAGCAGCACCAGCAGAGGTAACGCTCCACCACCCGGAGGACCTGCTGACGCGCTGCAAGGACCCGACCCTCCTCGTCCGCAAGATGACGGCGTTTCTCGTCGGGAACGTGACCCGGTGCTTCGCCTACCGCGAGCGGTATCTGCTGGAGATGGTGGGGTATGCCATCTGGAAGGAGTCTCTCGCTCATCCGGGGGCATTGTGAATAAGGAAAAGGGGGGGGTAAGGTCATTCGATATGACCGGTCCCTCAACGATTGTGCAGGACACAACACGACGAATACATCAATGGATGCTGAGCATCATTGCCTTTTCGGCATCAAAGCTTGCCTCGAACTTTTACATAAATATGAACTTTAGAAGTCAGGAGATTATAGACACTTTATCTAATAACTACATTTTTGTTCATTGGCGTTCAGCTAAGGCTCATTGATATGACGTTGACATTGACATTGACATTCACATTCACATTCACACCTGTACATTCTACACGATAACATACCGTAGACGTCTTACTCTAACCGACTGACACTCTCCAGCCCCGCAACCCCCCTTCCGCTGACATGCGTTTGGGGGCGGTGTAGGTGTAGTCGAGGCAGGAGACCCGCAGGTTCTCCTTCATTCAATATATACAGGCGCCTTGACCAGCACATTCTGCGGCCCCCGCCCACGCACCTCCGCCAGCACGAACGAGGAGAACCGGATCCGCGCCAGTCGCTCGCGGTCCTCGGTCGCTGCGCTGCCGGCGGAAGGAGCAGAAGCAGAAGCAATCGTGCCAGGGATGGTCACGTTGGAGACGGAACCAGGACCCGTCGGGAGCGCAACACCCGGAGCTGCTGTTCCGGCGGCTGGGCCCGCTGTACCCGCTCCGGCTCCAGCATTACCAGCACCAGCGGTGGCAGCAGCAGGACCCGTCCGTCGTCCCATCAGCGAGCTGAACATCGACCGTTTGCGGGATTCTCGCTCGCCGCCTGCGCCACTACCACTACCACTGCCGCCTCTGGGAGCAGATGGGTCGGTCGGGCCGGTTGGGGGAGCTAGTACACCAGCACCAGTATTAGTATTAGCTGGAGCGATCCCTGCTGCGCCTAGGACGCCAGCGTTGTCCGTGTCGATATCATCAGGGATGGTCGCTGTTCCCTCCGATGCTGCTGCGGCTGCTGCTACCGCTGCCGCCGCTGCCGCTGCGGCACGATCGATTTCCAACGAGGTGCCTGTTGATCGCTGCTGCTGCTGTGGTAGAGGTGGAATGCCCGATTCCACCCGCATGGTGCTTTCGTTGAGGACAGCGCCAGGGAGGATATATTCGACGACGATGTCCCGGGACTCCAAGGGGATCTTCTCGGCGATGCCGATCGCGTTCTCGACGATCATGCGGGCGCCGGTCTCCAAGCCCGGGGGCGGGGGCGGGGGCACGGCAGATGTCGCGCCGCCCGGAGCCGTCTCGATGCGCATGTACGCCGTGAGGGTCGCGACTAAACTCCCGACGAGGCGGTCGATAAGCTGCGCCCGGAAGTCGGCGGCCTGGGTGCCGCCGGCCTGTAGCTCGGGGAGGCCGTCGAGGGTGGTGCGACGCCAGTTGCTGATGCGCGCGACGGCGTTCTCGCGATCCTCGTCCGTCGTCGCGGTCACCTGGACCTGCTGGCGGCGGAGGTTCATCTCGATGTCCTTGAGGGCCCGCGAGAGGGCCGGCTCGAGGCCCGGGTGGAAGTAGCGCTCAAAGACCTCCTCGACGAGCCACCGGCTCATCACGGCGCGGCCAATGGCCGTCATCTCTTTCGTACCGGTGGTGTGCGCGTCGTCGCTGACGAAGCCGGTCAGCCACGGGGGCAGGCGCGCCCAGTCCTTGCGGATGGAGAACGCGAGGTCCTTGATCGCCCCGTCTAGGCGGGAGAAGCGGCTGGCGTACTCGTTGTCGTCCAGCACAGTGCGCGAGACCGCCATCCGTTGGTGCGCCACCGTGTTCTGGAGGTGCTGCACTTGGGCTTCCTTTTCGAAGTAGTACCGTTTGACTTTGGAGTATTTGGCCTCTGTTGAAACGGAATGTTAGATCAAGAAACGGTGGAAAGGATGTTGATAACAAGCGTACGCAGTTCGTCATGTTTCTGCACCAAAGCCCGCACGTCGATGTCGCTTGACTCATCGCGAGCTTCTCGGCGCGCGTCGCGGGTCTCCCGCACACTTGGGGTGCTGCGTCCTGCGTCGGCACTGGGTTGGGCGGCGTTAGTCCGATATCCAGTATCTGACTGGTTGTTCGATGCGTGCAAGGTGTGGCTGGCGCCAGAGGCGGGTTGGTTGCTGTTGCTGCTGACCTGCAGCACACCTGAAGGACGATCCGTCATACCGCCGGGGGAATCGGGCTGTGCGGGGGCCAATTGTTGACGCAACGGAGACGGGGGTCCGACAGACTGTCTGGACGGCGGGCGAGCTCCCACCGTTGGATCTAGCTGAGTTTGCGTCGGCACCAACTCACCGTGGTGTATACGGGGTGGATCAATAGGAGACGATCGGGCGAGGTGGTCGAGCAGGCCCGAATCGGTATTGGATCTTTGGATGGTAGAGTGCGGGGAGCGGGGCGGTCGGGTTTCCAGTGTCGGCACGGTGTTCTGCGGCATGTGGAACGAGGCGGGAGGAGGGCCTGCACGTAACGAAGGATGTGGACGAGGCTGTGTTTGGGCCTGCGGCTGCGGCTGGCGCTGTGGTGGTTGTGAATCCCAGCGAGTTACGTGAACTCCCGACCGTAGCTGAGGCGGTAGGTGTTCCTGGGATGGGGGTCGTGACGATAGATCTTGTGACAGCGGCTGCGGGGGCTGCTCCAACCGTGGTTGCGACGGAAGTTGTCCTAACTGCGATTGTGGCTGCGGCCACGATTGCAGTTGCGGCTGCGACTGGGCGTGCGGGTGTATATGTTCTTGCGACGATGGAGGGGAATAGGCGCCGTCTAAATCATGCTCAGGAGTCCAGGCTGTAGCGGGACGGCAGTCGGAGCTGGTATCAATAGACAACGGTCGCTGATGCTTATTCCGGCGACCGGCGGCGGAGAACTTCTTGACCGACCGATTCCGCTGCACAGAATCGCTTGTGGTGGCAGAGGAATGCAAGGAGAAAAGGCTGCGGCGAGACTTGCGTGGTTCCTGGACTTCCTGCTCGTTAGACTGGTCGGGAAGGGGCCACGACTGAGGTCTGTCCGTCAGCAAAATCAAGTGTTGTGTAGATAGGTAAAACAGAGGCAGATCCGATAAGGGTAGGTGGAGTAGTGGTGTTTGTTCATACCGGATGAGTGTTCTCGCGGGGACTGCGGTGACTCTTGCTGCGTCGGAGAGGAGCAGCAGCAGCAGCAGCGGCAGCAGCAGAATAGGGAGGGGGTTTCGGGGAAGATGAGTTTGTTAGAGGAGAAGACGAGTGGGGGTGAGACTGAAAATGAGGGTGTGAGTAGGCGTGGGAATGGTGAGGCTGAGGCTGAGGCAAAGAAGGATCGCGGGCGGTGGAGGAGGAAGCAGAGGCAGAGGAAGACGAGGACAAGCGACGGGGCCGATCGTCGGGGTGCTGCTGGTGCTGGTGCTGGTGCTGGTGCTCGACGCGAGGGGGAAGATGCTCAACCGATCGGAATGCAGACGCGACAGCGGCAGGCAATTTGGCTTTGCGGCGAAAGAGGGGCATGGAGATGGAAAGGGGAGAGAGATAGAGGAGAGACAAAAGACAGGAGGATGAATGAAGAGGAAGAAGATGCTCAGTCAGTTGGTTGGTTTGGTAGTTGGTGTATGAAAGAGAAGAGTGAGAAGCAAAGAAGAGAGGGGGAAAAGCGGCAGCAGAAGCCCATCAACTGGCAAGCAACAGCAACAGCAACAGCAGCAATCAATCACGGTACAACCAACTAATTATTCCTCATTGGCGCCTGTGACACGAGATGAGGCGCAAAGAAAGACTCTCAATTGGCAAGCCCAGTCAAGGATGTGTGTTCGGTGACTTCCAGAAAACCAGGAAACCCCGAATTAAATACCCAGCCTCGGCTCTGCTGCTGCTACTGCTTACGCTTGTCTGTCAACACTGCCTCGCCCCCAGATTTAGTGGCCGATACTAAGAGCCCCATGTATGTATAGTCACTTATAAGTTAACTACTGTGTCAGCCCCAAAGGATGAATTGAAGGATCTTCATATGCCAGTCTCATTATTCAAACAATTATCAAACCAGTATTTACATATGCGATGTGCATCATCTAGCACACACCGTGAGTCTTACCCGTCTTGCCCTGCAACGAGTGGGTTTCGTTCTTGTAGTGGTGGTGAGTGTGCTTGGCCTTGTGCGAGTGGGTGGCATGTTGGCGCACGTGTCTAAAATCCCGTTAGTCTGAAGCCAGCTATGAAGAGTTTCATCAATCCACTTACTTAGTGTAGCGCTCCAACATGGTCTTGTCCATCTCGCTCAAGGTGCTCATAGCCAGCTTGATGTCAGCCAACAGCGCGTCACACCGGTTCATGCTGAAATCCTCGCGAACCACCACCCGCATCAGCTTCAAGGAGTTGCTGTTGGGGGCCATGGTGTACGCCGGCACAATCCAGCCACGCTCACGCAACTGGTGCGCCACCGCAAACTCGTCGAACACCTCGTCGCGGTCCGGCCGCAGACGGAAAGCCACCAGCGGCAGGCCCTTGCCGCCGCGCTGGCTCATGATGATGAAGCCCATCTTCTCCAACTCGCTGGCCAGGTAGTCGGCAATCTTGGTGATGTTCACCATGATCGACCGGTAGCCCCGCTTACCCAGTCGGATCATCTGGTAGTACTGTCCGATCACCTGCGACGCTCCCTTGGAGAAGTTGAGCGTGAAACTGGCCTGCTCCGCACCAAGGTAGTTGATGTTGAAGATCAGCTCCTTAGGCAGGTACTCGGGCGAGCGCCAGACCACCCAGCCAACACCAGGGTACACCAAGCCGTACTTGTGGCCGGACACGTTGATCGACACGACCTTCTCCAGGCGGAAATCCCACTTGAGGGTGGGGTGGATGAAGGGCGCCACGAAGCCACCGCTGGCCGCGTCCACGTGGATGGGGCAGTCAATACCACGCTCCACCAGCAGGTCGTTGATGGCCTTCACATCTTCGTACTCGCCGGTATAGGTAGTACCCAGAATGGCACAGATACCGATGGTGTTCTCGTCTACCAGGTCGACCGCCTCCTTCGGATCAATTACATAGCGATCCTCCGTGCAGTAGACGTACCGTTCCTCCACGTCGAAGTAGCGAGCAGCCTTCTCCCAGCAGACCTGGACGGCGCTGTTCATAACAATGTTGGGACGCGACCAATCCTTACCCTCGGCCTTGCGCTTGTTCTGCCACCGGCGCTTCATAGCCAGGGTACCCAGCATGATAGCCTCGGACGAACCAATGGTCGAGGTACCCATGGGGTGCTCATCATCACTGTCAGTGGGAGCGTTGAACAAACGGGCAATCATGTTCACACAGCGGTTCTGGATCTCTGCGGACTGAGGGTATTCTTCGTAGTCAATGAAGTTCTTGCTGAAGGATTCGGCCATGAGCTTCTCAGCTTCGTCTTCCTATTATTTACCGTCAGTCACGTCCCAGAGAGTATGGTCCAGACGAAATTACCATGTAGGTGGTCACAAAGCTCGCCAAGCTGCCAAGGGAGAAAGAATGATCAGCCATCCATTGATTCACAAACAAAGCACTAGAGCACACTCACTTGAGCATGGGGTTACCATCCAAGCTCAGCTCATCCTTGATCATGCGGTAGGCGACCTCCCTAGGCATCTCGCGCTCCGGCATCTCGTGCTGGGGCAACTGCTCCGTCGCGAAGCGAGAACCGTAGACACTGGTAGAGAAGTCATCCTCCTCAGCGCTATCGAGCTTGATCGAGTTGACCCGTTTGATGGACTGCTCGATATCGCTATCGCGCTTGATTTGGGCGAGATGAACCATGATGACGTAGTGGGATGCAGGAAATGAAGAATACAGGGGGGGTGTGAGAGGGAAAGAAAAAAGGCCAGCTCAGGCAGCAGCAGACCAGAGATTTAAATAGCGCACGCCAGAAATCAGTCAATGAAGAAAAGGGAATGGGTTGACGCGCCGCCAGGAGGTCCTACCCTGCTCGTTTCGTCGGAGAGGGGAAGTGGGCGGCATCAGCCCGTCAGCTCAAGCCTCAGACAACACGAGTGGAGAGGAAAGACAACAAGTGGCTGTTGGTCTCAGCCCCAGAAGGGCGAAACAGCCAGTCAGGGATGAGACTCTCGAGCCATCGTCCATCATTCACTGATCGCAAGTTTTCGGGGGGTCCATAGATGGTCGCAATTCCAGGCGATCCCGGGACGGCAGCACACCTCGGCAGACTAATCACTCGTACTTGTGGCACTGAGTACGTAGAGAGGGTAGAGGGGCTGCCCCTCTTCGTGTTTTCCCCCTCATCTCTCCCTCTCGATTGGCAATTGAGCGAATAATGGATCAGGACGAGGTACAATCCAGCGCTAAAAGCTTGAGGAAAGCTTGACCTGGATCGGGTGGAAGGGGGAAACGAGTGGATTAGGTCTCAGCCACGATGTTGGGAAGAAAGATTGGTGGTTGTCTCGTGGGGCGGGTGGAGAGCCATAACCAGCGGTGATATCATCTTTGCTCCAGCTCGTGGTTTTGACCTTATGTCAGGTCGATGTCACTTGGCTGTAGATAAGCATCCATGCGGTCAAAATCAAGACCAAGCGACTGACATGGTGTATATGTCCGAGTATGTGTGCATTCATTTGCAGTAAGACTAGTTCGAGAGGTGCTGGTGTGCTTGTGGCCGATGGGGAACTTCGGTACCAGGTCTCCATCCAGGGCCCCATCCAGAAGGGCAAAGGAATAAATAGAATCTCTCTCGCAACGGGTGATGGACACCGCTAGCCTGCTAGTTCGCAACAAAGAGGGGCCCTCACAATTGTAGAGCAATAGTCTTGACGATAGTGAAGAAATAGTCGAGCGTAAAAACTCCGTAGGATAGACTAGGTAAAGTAACGATGGGGGAAGAAATGGCGGTGAAATCATCTCCGTCTCCTCCTCCTCTTCTCTGCCTTTCCCTTCTTGTCCTCTCTTTCTCCCCACCCTAATCAAACCATCCACATGCTGACCAGGCTTGAAGCTCTCACAAGAGGACAGATTGCTATTGTTCTGGTCCTCGACTTGAAGCAGTCTCATGAGACTCACAAGCACTTCTCTCCTCTACGCAATCCCAAGTCGAAAAAAAAAAAACATTACACGTATACAATAAATATCTCATTCTCTTCACCCCCAGCCCCATTACCATTAACAAAAAGTACCGTATCGATCGTGCCATTCTCAACTCCGACCCAAAGGGGACAGGGAGACATGGAATCCATCAAGAGAGACATCACAAGAAGTAAACAAATGCAGCCCAGTGCATTCCAGTCATCCATGGCGTTGACTCCCAACAGTTCCTGCCGCCCAAGTCATATTCCAGTACAATCGCGGTCCGACCACCCACCCTGGGTGTCAGACGGCGATTTTCCAGTTCCCTTTCGTTTCTTTTCTATATCGTCATTTGTGTCTTGTTGATTTTCGTTTTTTCCCGACTGTGTTCCAGAATGATTAAGTACTGTCCGTCCGTCCATGTTTGGGTATCAGAGTATAAAAAGGGAGAGGGAGCCGGAAATCATTTCCGACCCCCCCAACAGCCATTTGGGCATTTGGGTCATACATCGCTCATAGGGTCTAATTCTTGTCGCCCTTGACCTTGCGCTTGAGCCATGACCAGAGACCAGTCTTGCGTTTCTCAGCATTACCCTTTGCTGCCTCAGACTTGGCAGACTCTTGAGCCCGGTTGGCGGCCAGCTTGGCAGTATCCTTGCCCTGGTCGGCCGCCGATTTGCTCTCGGGCTCTTGAGCGCCCGTGGTTCCCTCAGTGGCCCCCGCAGTTTGCGTGTCTTGTACAGCCGGAGTCTCCTGGGGCTCGGATTTGATCTCTGATGAAGGAACCTCGTCGGTCTTCTGCGCATCCTTGGCAGCGGAAGCCGGCTGAGAGTCGGTGGTCTGGGGCTGAGGTTCCTCTACCTTCGATGCAGCAGTAGTCTCTTCCGGAGCCTTGGCCTTGGCAGCATCTAACTTGTCCTCTGCGGCCTCGGCAGGAGCAGTGTCCGCTTTCTCTTCCGCAGCCTGCAGAGGTTCCTGGGCCTCGGCGGCTGGAGCAGACTCGGCTGCAGACTTTACAGCCGCATCGGTGGCTTTCGTATCCGCGTCCGTAATGCTGGAAGGGACAACAATAGCCGGCTCGGCAGCTGCTGCGGTAGTCAAGGGCTCGATCGGAGCTGCCTCCTCCTTCGACGTCTCCCCAGCAGCCTCATCCAGAGTCTCGGGCTTCACATCAGTAGGGGCGACATCGGTCTGGGCGACATCGGTCTGGGCGACATCAGTAGGGGCGTCGAGCTTCTCGGTAGCAGGTGCCTCGCTAGCGTCAATAATCTCGGGTTGGGCAGCGGCATCGGTGACAGGGGCTGCGGAGACAGGGGCAACAGTCTCAGGAACCGCCTTATCAACAACAGCGTCCTCAGTCGCGGGTTTGGCGGCGTCGGGAATGGTAGCAGCACCTTCGACAGGAGCGGCCGTTTCCTTGCTCAGCTCTGGGGCCTCCAACTGATCAACATTGTCCGATGGGTCAGTGCCCAGACCCGGTACCATCTGGGGCTGAACAATGGTCTCGTCAGCAGGAATGGCAGCCGCGCCAACGGCCTCCTGGCCGACGGGCTCAACGGCATTAGCGGAGGTGGTGGCATCCAAGTCCTCCTCGACCTTGGGGATCTTGGGCGGCTTGTGGTCTTCCTCCTTGTGAAACAGACTACTCTCATAGGGTCTCTTCGCTTGATGGTCATGGCTCTCTGGTTCGACAGCAGTGTCTTTGGGGCGCTCGGGCAGGGTAGTAGTGGCTGCGACAGCGAGGGAGATAAAAGTCAGCGATCGATCCGCGAAGAAAAAAAAATTATGCAGCAAGCAGCAATCAATGGCTTACTCAATCCAGCTACCGTAACAGGCTCCTCCTCTGTGACAACGTCGGTGGCAGGCTCATCGGCCTTAGGAAGCGAGGCGTCATCCGCGGTGGATGCCTCCTGGGCGAGGTCAGCAGGCGGGGCAGTGGTAATGCCTTGAGCGACAGTGTCGGGAAGAGCGGTGGTAGCATCCGCAGTTACGGCTGCGCCAGCATCGGTGACCACGGTTTCGGGCTCAGCATCGCTCTTTGTGACGGTTTCCTCGACCTCCTGCTCGGGTACACTGGAGGGGAAAAGATATCCTCGTGTTAGCGCGGCGCGCAAAAAGAGAATTTGTGCGATTGAGCAAGATGCAACACTTACACCGCGGCCGGGGTGTCGGCAACCTTCTTCGCGGCGGCAGCACCGCCCTTGGACTTGCTCTTATTCTTGCTCTTTCCGCCTTTCTTCGCCATTGTGCGCAATTCAAACCTGTGGGTGGTGGTCCGTGTGGGCAAGCGGTCAGAGACTGGCTCTCTCAGAGGGAGGAGGAGATGGACAATGCTTGTTACTAGGTAGGGAGCGGCAGCAGATGAGAACTCACGATTTTGTTCAGGGAGGATGAGGATGGGATTGAAGGTGGATGGGCACAGGATTCTGAGAGGTCGTGCTGTCCACGATGGGGGAGATTAAGAAGAAGTCGCGCAGACTGGCAAAGTGGAAGAAGTTAGGGGCGGGCAGCAGGTATGTTGGTCCTTTCCGAATGTCTAATCAAATCGGGGAACGTTAATCCGTGGGGGAGTTGTGGCCCCGGGAAGTGCAGGGCAGGGCAGGGCTATAGTATCCTCAACAGTCATTGACTGTAACCAGTAATGACTAGATTCGAGAAGCTCAGACCATGCGCCTTAATGAATGGTGTGAGTTGGTGTAGACAGACAGAGGTTGTGAGCATCCACAAATCTAAAAAGTGGAAGGGAGAAGGGAGGAGGAGGGGAGGGGAGGAGGGAGGGTGTCGCGTCGCAGGGAGGAGGAGGGTAAGGACAATAAAATTACTCCGTTCAACTGTACACCATGCGACAGGAAGGTATTTGCGGATCCAAATCTTAAGCTGGTTACGATTGCGACGCGACGTCTACGAGAGCAATTGGACTAGGCGGGTGAGGAGCTTAGCTGTAATGAGAGGCATGATTCCAGAAGCTATAGGGAATTCTGCTCTCAGCCATGGTTAGAATTCATGCGATCGGCCAGGAGCTACTATCGTTTACTGGGGGAACAGTGAAGCAAGCTGGGGCCCGGTGATCTATTGTTGTTTCCGCATTGAGAGCAACGGGAGGGAGGGTCTGGTTGCAGGTTTGACCCCTCGAGCTCTCATTGTTAGAGAATGCTAGCGCAAGATTCAATTCTTCAAAAGCGCAGCGACTGATACATAGATTGAGGCGCAAAACCACCTCCCCCCCCTGATTCCGGCGACTTCAATCCGTACCTGCAGCGAGAAGAGAGGCCAGGCTGCCAACCGTCTTCAGCCGATCGCCCGGAACAGCGGTTATTCCGGTTGCTCTGTCCCAACCAGGCAAGGGATCACGACACTATAACAAGAAAGAGAAGCTAAGGTATGCCAAGCACTGCTGCAAGTGCAATCGATACCTTTACACAGCCAGTCTCAACAAGCATCAGATCAACAACGGCAGACCACCCAATTACTACATTGGTAGGGTAAGGTGTTGGTATCTGGGCAAGGGAAAGTACCGGAAATAACCGGGAGAGAAAGCTCCTCAACCTCGTTCATGATCACATCTACGAGCAGATATACGTGTCATAGACCAGAAGGCCAAGAGCAAGGATGAGACGATCTCTCTCGGCCTACGCTGCCCTTCCCCAGTCCGGGCGGGATCGATTACATCATGCGAAGTGTGGCCGGGTTCAGAGTACCAATTTGCCCCGGGAAAGTCGCCGGTTTCAGGATCTGCTCAATTGACTGGGGGGCTAGAGATACCGGGGGAGTGTCTGAGCTGGGGAACAATGGGAATGCCAAACGTGTCGCAGTCAGTGCCTTGTTCGACGGATTTATGCGCACCACGAGGATAGCCACATACCGCTCCAGCACATTCAGCCAGCATCCTGACGGATAAGGGTAGGATCAGCCCGCAAACAGTTTCAGGCTGTTCTCGGGAGTTCCTGGTTCATTCCATACGACTATCGGTGGGAAAGTGCATCTCATCTCATTGAATGCCATGTCACTAAACCCTATGCATTCGTACCCGAGAATAATGATGCTGGAAAGCAGTTGCGGCTTCTAGAAGGCTGAAAGGTTAACCCCGTTACCCCATGGGCGGTTGGTGCTGATGACATCATCGGAGCATTGCCCGGCCAGTCAGCCTCTTTTCCTGCCCAACCATACGCGGGGACGGCGCCCTTACATGGAACAACTTGTTACTGAGTTGGTATCTGGAAAAAGAATAACGGTTTCTTGGCAGAGTCAACACAGACATAGACCCGAATGAACTACGTGAGGATCAAAAACACAAAAACATTGACCGACGCAGGGCTCGAACCTGCAATCTCTTGATTCGTAGTCAAGCGCCTTACCATTGGGCCAGCCGGCCTTATTGATGAGTCGATGTACCATATCTTGAGATCTGATTCAAGACAAAAAGATAATCGGAAGTACCGTGCCGAGTGGAGGCAACTCCTCGGGACATCCAGCGGGGCAGTCGGAGCTCTCGGCCATCCCAGTCCGTTGATTCGCGCATTATCTCTCGTCACCGCAGCTGAATACGGTTAGTTCCTCTCTATGTGCGATTCCCATTACATATTGTTATCGCTTTCAAACCCTATGATAGAGTCTCTCACGGAAGGAACGGCGAGGAGTTTTGGTACGGGTTATCTATCTCAGTGCCACCGTCCGACCCCTTCCGGCAACTGACGTTTCGTCTGAATCCGTCGTCTGCCTGCCCCCTCCAGAAAATCCGTCCCAACCGCCACGGAACCAACAAAGAAAACGGGCGGTAGAAATTGGAAATGATGATGATGATGTCGGTTACTACCTGTTGTACTGTACCCCGGACACCAGTCAGCCGCTCAGAGCCTTCCCAGATTGACCAGGATCCCTGGCATGGATGAGATAGGTGGTGGTGGTGGCACGTCGATCGGAACGTCTTGGCCATCCTTCTGGAAAGGTTCGGTGCAGCACCGGCCACGACAGAGACACAAACCTTGCGTCTGTTCTCCCCCGTCTCGCTGTCCTGGACTCCTGGCCCAGTCTAGGCCAGATGGGCTATGAGGTGGAGGGTGGAGGACGAGAACGAGGAGGAGAAGGACGGGGTAGGATTGTTTGCCATTTTGCCACATTTACTTCCATGCCAGGGATACAGCTTGGTTCACTTTCGGCCTGTCCGGTGGGTACGGTTCACACTGTACTGTAGTTACAGTGTCACTGTCACTGTCACTGTCACCCGCCCGGCGTTGACCAGAATGGGCCACCTGTAGGTGCATGCTTTGCGCGTCAATGGCATGGGAGAGCTCGTGCCCCGACTGGGGTCTATCAAAGGACAGCCGTTCAGCACAGTGGCCGGAATTGACTCGGGATCGTTCCAGGTCGGCGTAGAACCAGAAGAAAAGGCAACGCTTCCATGGTCGTTGTTGCCGGACCGTCGTACCTCGAGACTCGCGATGTCCAAGCGAATGCAACCCCCACCGTCAATCAAACTCACTCTGACTCGCGGTGATTGGGGGAAGTAGGGTAGTTAGTCAGCCATGAGGGGGGAAACTGGAAGGAAGTGGTGGGAAAAACCGGACTTCGGCACCGTGACGCCCATGCTGCAATCCCCGGTATGATTCAACCCGTCGATGCAGAAGCAGGAGCAGAAAAGTATTCCTGGTCAGATGGACTCTCGAAGATCTAGAGGGGCGATGCATGATGAAATAATGGAGTCGCAGCGGAGAAAGAATAAATACTACTATGTATTATTATCGGAGTCGATCCATCCAGAAGCCTTTCATCCATCTACTCCGTACAGAGTAGCATAGGTAGTGATTAGTGACATATCACTGCATTGCTGTACTGTACTAGAAGCAGCAGCACCACGACTACCACCACCACCACCACTTATCAACACAGTTCCTCGGACATACATTGCACTAGTCGCCGGTGTTAATTCACGCACTTCTCACCCAAGTGGATCTCGACTTACACATCCGCACAATCAGATTTGCCCCGGGCAGGTGGTTGAGCGCAAAGGGTGGTAAACTAATCGCGGCTTACCAGACTGGTCCAAAACCGTGGAGTCAGGGCTGGCCAGTGCTGCAACAGCCAGCACCAGCACCAGCACCACCAGCCAGCCCATTGCAAGTAAAGCGAGGGAAATCGATCGATAGGAGACAACAGTTGAATGAGTGAATTAATTTAGGGGAGTTGTGTGAATTGGTAAGTTCTTTTTCCCCGAGTCTTTCTTTCTTTTTGTTATCTATTATATTTTGTTGTTCACTTCATGCCTTCGATACCCAAACATTGTCAACAATCTTAATCCTTTCACTACCCTTTACTCTACGTGGTGGTGGAATGGGTTCCTGATCTCGCTTCTCTTCTCCAATCTCCAATTCTCCATATCGCTCTTATCCCACTTTCTCCTACTTTCGTTCTCACACCCACCCAAACTACCCAAACTGTTATCGCCGTGCGCTTAGCGGAATGGGGCTAAACGGCAGAAGTGACTTAGTGTCTTGAATCGCCTCGTGCCAATCAGCGATACTTATTCGTGGCCAACTAGTAATAATTTCCCCCCTCGAATTGAATCATAGGTATGGAGTCCACCCGATTTCGATTAATCCTCTGAGTTAGTCGTCGATTTCTCTCTCACACTGACTGCTGCTAGCCTGCTCTGCTGCTGCTGCTGCTGCTGCTGCTGCTTAAGATACCCGCATTGCGGTTCATAGCCTTAACCCTCCCTCCTCCCTCCCTCTTCTTGCTACTTCTTGCTCTTACTTCGCCCTCTCTTCCTCTCCTCTCCTCTCTTCCCATTTATTGATTTCAACCCATCTCCCCTCTTCTCTCCTCTCTTCCCCTCCCCACTCTAGCCATACGATGAGAACGGGCTTTGCTTATCTCTCCAATTGTTGTCTGTGCTTGCACACTCTCCCTCGCGTCCAATCCCCGACTGGGAAAGGCCCGCTACTACATTGAGGTGCGGAGTTAAACAGAGTCAACGCTTAATCTCCACACCTGCACAACTCGATATCTATTCTCCATACCTCGACTACTTACTTCTCCTCCCGGCCACAATGAATTTCCGTGAGAAGGTTCGTCGAGTGTTCCGTCGGAGCAGCAGCTCCTCCTCTTCATCCAAATCCAAGGGCAACGGGATCAAGATCGAATATTACAAGCGCCATGAGATTCCTCGCTCCAAATTCAAGGGTCCCTTCGATCGCGAACACCAACGGCGCCTCGCAGCATGGTCTTTCCAAGGGACGCAAGAAGAGCGACGCCGGTCGTTAGATTTGTCGCTGTCCCCTTGTACATCATTACCGGACTACCTGAGACCTCAATGTGACGAGGAAGACCTGGCCCCGGATCAGATCCCAACGACGGCCCCGGAGGTAGATGTGACGGCTGGTATGTGGAACTCTTCACTTTCTTCGCGGTCAACTCCGTCTTCCATTTCTTCTGGCCCCAGCGACTTGTAAGATGACCGCGTTCTGACCATATCAATAGGTTCGATTTCCGTGGACCATGATGAGTACGCTCCAGGCCGCCAGGGGGACAGCAGCGGCTCGACCTCGTCGACGGCCGTGGACCCGGAGAGCTACAGCGAGTCCCTGATGACTCTCCTTCCGGAACTCGAGCAGGAGGACCCGATCGCGCTACTGAAGGAAACCATCCGGTACACCTCTCCGGTTGTACGGGCCATATCGCCGCCTCCAATGTCGCCCAAGGGCGCTTGCATGCCCTTCGCCCCCGAGGATCTGACACGAGCGTTGAACGCCGTGCAGATCTGCTACTAGAACTTATATTTATCCTAATAACCGCATCGACTTCCGGCAAGATCTTCGCTTCTCCTCGTCACGTGAGCCATTCACCCAATGAGCGCCCGCCATCCCGACGATCCATCCATTTGTTCTTCCACCATAACCTACCACCTCTAGACGGAGCACAGCCTCTATCACCGACTACGACATCTTCTACACGCAACCCTTCTATTTTAATCCCAACCAACTCCTTCTACTCCTAACAATAAGGGCCCTTGAGAGAGCCCGAAATCCGGATCCTCCGGCCACCGCTCGGTCCCATCCATCAGCCAAGACCTCGGGTCCAGAATCCATGCATCGCACGACGTGAGGGGCATGTCGGCTATTGCATTTGACTGGCCCAGCGTCACTGCCGGCTGACATTTGACTTTCCACGCATGAGACGAACGAATGTTGAAAAGCGCCTGGCTTCTTATGCATATTCTATATGCTTTCGTGCATTTGCAATTGAGCGTATACCCTTTGCAGTCAAGTTTCTCTTGCCGACCGTGTTGGTCGTGCTGCTGCTGCTGGCGGTGTTGCATAAATGCTTACCGTACTTCACTCTCTTGGGGGTTTGCCTACTACTAGCAACCTTCGTGAAGCAGAGGAAGAAAGACCAGCCCAAGCTACATGACTTTTTTTACTCTACCGAACCTACCCAGCAGACCACTAACATTGTCATCAGGTAGTGCAGTAGACCAATGAATGAAGAAATCAAGAATTTTAATCCTTGCTTATCGTAGAGTAGTAGCCTGCAGACCTTGCCACCATTCCCACGTAGGGAAGCCCTGTCCATGCCAATGCCTATGCCTACCCAAACCGTCCCCATGAACTAGTTACACCAAGATCTGAGTAGAAATCGTGATAGAGATAGGCAATCATACCTAGGTAGGTAGTGGTCTCCACCCTCCGCAACACTATGAATGACTAGAAACTGTAGTAAACAATAGAGCTTCCACTTTCCAAGTTGCCCGCCCCTTCCCCTTTTCCCTTTTCCCCCAGATCCACACTCCACATGCCCGCACATCTCCAACCCACCAGCTTGGCATTCGGCGCATCACGCATCATCTTGACCTCAAACAGTTGTTGCAGTCCACAAAGTCATAGTCATACTGATACCGTACACATTTAGCTTAGCTTAGCTTAGCCCAGCCCAGCCTTTCTGGAACACAACCTAAATGACCACTAAGTTGACCTAACTGAAGTCACGACTGTTAAGTTGAACTTAGCTTAAGTTCCAGACCCTCGGACTGAACAACAGCCTCGCCCCTCTTTTCCCCTCTGTTCCGCCCGCCGCCCTCCCGCAACCCAAATTCCTGATCTCTAAGGTAGTCACTTGGGGTCAGGCTCACTTGGGTATGGATGGGATAAGGCGTACAATCGAATGGCAAAAAAAACAAGCATTAATACCGAGTAGATATCTAGGCTGACTAGGTAAAACAATTGCCAAGCCATCTGGTGGCGTGGCTCTGTTCGACCGGGCTAGACCGCAATTACTACCTCCATGGGACGGGGGGGCGAAGGCGGGATTCTAGAAGAAGTAAACCTAAGAAGAATACCGTAGGTGCTTAGTAGAAGTGTGCAGGCTTGCCGAATTAATCTAACTGCAGTCTAAAGCAGTCTAAGTTGCAGGGTTAGGGGGGCGAAAATCTGGGTAGAGGAAGAACGGGGGGAGCACTACGTTCTGCTGCATCTCTTGTGCATGCGTTGCATCTGGGTCTTGGCTTTTCTTGAGGGTGGGGGTTGTGTTGGACTCGGGGCCGGGGGAAGGGGGTGGCTTTGATGGTAGAATGGTAGGAGTATACAGTATGGGTGGCGATATTGGTGAGTGATGTTTTTGTTTTGTCGGATCGTGTTTGTTGGTGTCTCGCAAGCTATTGTTTGTGGCAGTTTGAATGGGGTTACTGGTTTTTTTGCTGCTGATGCGGAGGATAGATACTAAATGATAGTTGGTGGTTGCAGGGCAGCCGACTTCTATGCGACGAGCCTACTGCTGACTCTACATGTCGGATGGATGCTCAGAATAGTTCTCGTACACTTCATATCCGGTGTTTTGTTGCTGGTCATCAGTCATGTCATCTATACAGGCTTTAGGTGAAATGCAGTCCATATATCCCTTCATCAACCACGCTTCGGTTTAGTCCTCGTGGGTGACGGCCATGTCAAGAACCTCCACGCGTCCTCTGCCACGGGTCTCATTGCCAACGAAGTCGTTCAAGCCCTTGAACGCGCCAGGCTCCGCAAATCCGATGACCTCCCACTCGTCACCGCCGACGACCTCCTGCGCCTCCACCGACTCGATATAGCTGAGGATCTTGTCCTTGACGTTGCTGGGTCCCTTAGCGGGCGCCGCCTCAGCGTCAGAGCCACCGGCCTCATCCTCGGAGTCCTGCTGACGGGCCGACTTCTTCGACCCCTTCCCACCCTTCTTGTTCCCCTTAGCACCACCCTTGGGCGGCGGCGTCTCTCTCTCCTTGTTCACTCCGCCCACACCCCCAGCCACCTTGACACTCTGCTTCAACAGCGACACCGGACAAGTCACCCGCAGGCGCATGCGGGCCCGCATCACGGGGATCGGCTGCCACGCGATCAGCGCCTTCATCGCATCGAGCGCCTGACTCTTCGCGGACTTGTTCGCCGCGACCCCCGTCCACAGGGGCTTCCGGGGCGCCGCGCTGCCGCGGTTCTCGTCTCCGTCACCGTTCGTCTCGCCGTTGCCGGCCGCCGGGCCCTGTGTCTGTTGCTGTCCGCTCGCCGAGCTCAACTGATCCAACGCCTTGGAGATCATGCCGGGCGTGTAGACGCGCTTCGTCGTGGGGTCCACCAGCCGGCCCGACACGATGTCCAGGATCTCCTTCTCGACGCGCTCGATGATCTCCTTCCGCTCGCGCTCGCCGACCTGCACCTCGCCCTTGCGCAGGATCTCTTGCCGGATCTCGTCGGCGGGCGTGTCGGCGCCGAACGCCTTGGCGAGCTCGGCCGACGGCGCCGTCTGGGCCTTCGAGACCGACAGGAAGATCGTGGGTACTTGGAGGACGTTGTCGAGGTCTTTCTCGGCGCCGGACCGGTATTCCAGGAGTTTGTTCTTGTAGCAGGCGAGCTCGAAGCGCTTCTTGCCTGGAGAGGTGGGGTGTTAGCGGGGGTGGTGAAGGGAATTCTGATGAGTTATTTCGAATTTGAGATCGCCGGTCTTGGAATCTAGCCCCAGCTGCATCTCCAGACGATTACGCTTGGGTATATGGTGGACGTAGTAAAAGAGTTGGCCCGCTTACCCTTCTTTAATCTGACGACTGATACATTGGTGAATTTGATCTGATTTGAGGGTTGGTTGATCGGCATC